TATATCTAATGTGAAAATGTCGACATAATTGTGGAAATCTAAAAACATTTGTTTTTCCACGCGTATTGTGAAAATTAGAGACATTAGTCATTATTTATTCTCATTTATCTTTTCTAATTAATTAACAGTTAAAATTAATTTTTTTTAATAGAAAAAATTAAATTATACCGTTTTTAAAAAATTTTAAAAAAATATTAAATAAAAAAATGAGTTTAAAATTCTAAATATTTTTGAATTTATATAGTTTTGCAGTGAATTTATTTGCTTATATATTCTATTAATTTTGGAGTACACACAATATTATCATCCATTTTCTAATTGAGTTATAATTCTTTTATGGAGACAAGTTTTCAACAGAATATCAATATCATGTGAAAAAATTAGAGGCTTTTGTTTTCGACGTCATTGTCTAGCTATTGTTAAGGTCTTTTCAAAGTATCAAAACTTTTGAAGATTTTGTCATCATTTTTTAAACTGATTTTGCAAGTCTATAAGTCTCTTTACCATATGAAAATTTGACATATCAATTTATTGCACTTGTCTTATGTGCTCCAATATCGTGACTTTCTTGTGCACCAATATTTACGGGATAATAGAATCCCTTTGTAACTTTTTTTAAGATTATGAAGGTCTTATCTCAAACTAAGTATATAATGCATTTTTAACTTGACTTATAAACACGGAAGCCTATATTTTTGCAAGGATGAATATATATATATATATATATATTCATGTAATAATATAATGTCAAGTTTTGATTGTACTGTTTTTATATATATATATATATATGACTCTTTTTTCGGTTAGTTTCTGTTTTAAATTCTAATGTCATGACTTTTTTGTACGCTATATTTTTTTAACTATATAAATTTCAGTTGTTTCTTTTAAATTTTTTATTTTTTTTTTTACCTTTCCACCCAATATCCTGAAGCATTTGAATATGTTGACTTCATTGCATTGCTGCATACCTTAAAATTTGATCTTAAATTAAACTGTCTAAGTCTCTAATTACTTGAGATCCGGCAATGGGGATAAGGTTTTTTCCTATTCTAAGGTTTTTTTTAATTTAAAAATGAATCTTTTAATTCTTTTAATTCAACATGGGCTGATGGGGATAAGGGTTTTTTTTTTTAAATTTTGGAAAGGGCACTTTGGTCTTTTTTTATTTTAAGTACACATATTTTATTAAATTTATATCAAGATTTCATCATCATACTAAACATACTTTCAAATTCAATTCTAATTTTAATTTTAATTTTATTAAAAACTCTTTTATTATATCAAACAGAGTTGAGTGTGAATTATGCTCCTGTGATTTATGAGTAGGCTTCTGTCTGATAATTAGGTGGGTCCCTAAGCATTCCATTGAATTCAAAAGAACAATGTCGCACTCTTTATTATTTTGATAGAAAGAGTCATTTTAAAATAATATATAACACAACTCAAGAGATTTAGCGTGGGTTGGTCAAAAAAAAAAAACAAGAAATTTAGCATGGGTAAATGTCTTTAAGATTCAAATCATCCTATGCAGCCAAAAAATGAAATAAAGAAAATAAGAAATATCGCTATAAAGAATAGTATTATCTACTCTCTCTTTTTTATTTCTCATGATTATTCTCTTATTAAAAGCAATTCTATTACTAGTTTTTTTTTTTAATTAGACCCAATTTCGTTGGTTACTATTATCTACTTAGAGTTGGCAATATAGCCTAACCAAAATTACATGGGTTGAAAAAAATATGGGTTAGATTGAGTTCAATCTATTTTTATATAGGTTGAAAAAATTTTAATCCAACCCAACATTTGAGGGTTAACAGGTTAAATGGGCTAACCCACTAACTTATTTATTTTTTTTCATAAATTTTAAAGAAAATATATCTAAATGATAAGTTTCAATTTGATATTCCTTTATGATTTATTCTAAACATACCAAAATATTAATATATAATATTTGTACAAAATATATGAATTGATCTAGCTAAGCAAGTCATATTTAATGTGGTTTATATTCATAAAATTTTCTCCTTTTTTAACTTTTTTAAAAAATGATGAGTCAAATAGGTCAACTCTAACTCATTAAGGTTAGCTTATATAATTCACAGGTTATATAATCTGAGTTAGAAAAAACTTGTTTTTATTTAAGCTAATATTTTTCTAACCCAACCCTTATGATTGATTATTGAAGCCAACTCATATAACTCAACCTGTATTTCCAACGCTATATCTACTATTTTAATTTGATAATGTTATGCGAAATATTACTATGCTGATGCTAAACAAAAGATATAAATTGCCACATGGATGATAAAACAATTTATTTATGAAATCAACTTGAAAAATCACATTACAGATCCTACATTATCAACAAAAGTAAATTTTTTAAGGAAAATAATTGAAAAATTCCACATAAGAATTTCAATTACTTTACAATCCCATAAATGTACAAATTACTATCAAGTCACAATTCTTATACAACTATAACTTAACAAAGTCAAATGACAATTTGACTACGAGTTAAATATCAAATTGCCATTTTTCTTTGTCAAATTATCATCTTTTATGTCAAGTTGTAATTACATAAAATTTAAAACTTAAGAGTATTTTATATATTTCATAAGACCTCTTGAGAATTAAAATCCTTACCAGAAACTTGGAGTGATTTTCTCAAATTTTATACAAACACATACAAATATAAAGCTATTATATATGTATAAAGTTATTCTAACTCGTGAATCATTTCCAGCTCAAAGTTCAAATGTCTTCTTGGAATTATGGTGCTTGCATTGCTTGAAGTAGCAAAGTCCAATGGAGTTGGAGGCAACTTTAATTTATCTACTTCCTCTTCTAACATTTGTATCACTGTTTTCATGGCCGGACGATTTGTTGGATGCCATTGAATACACCAAAGTCCCACAATTGCAAGTTTCTTAGCAATTCTAATATCATCCTCATCTTCTCTAAAAATACTTATATCTCCTCCTTCAATCACATTATGGATCCATTCTGGGTACAACACTTGCAATGTTTCTCGATTTGTATCAACATTTTTCCTTCCACCAACCATTTCTAGTAGCAACATTCCATAACTGTAAATATCTGATCTGATTTATACGACACACTTCCAAAGTTTCGAGAGAAAACTTCAGGTGCAATGTAACCCACAGTTCCTTTTACTATTGTCATTGACACCGTATTTTGATCTTTAGAACACAATTTAGCTAGGCCAAAATCAGAAATTTTGGGAGTGAAATTGTGATCTAACAATATATTACGAGGATTGATGTCAAAGTGAAGAATACGATAATCACAACCTTGGTGAAGATATTCAATCCCTTTAGCTATGGCAAGAGCTATTTGTTGCAGCTTCATCCATCCAAGGAATTTTTCTTTGTTGTCTGGGGTAGAGATGAACTTCTGGAGGGAACCATTTGGAAAAAAATCATAAACAAGTGCACGGTGAAATCCATCAGCACAAAAGCCTAACAAACGAACAACATTGATGTGATGAATTTTACCCATTGTCCCCACTTCATTAATAAAGTCTTTACCATCAGTTTCTGAATGATTGAGTATTTTTACGGCCACTTGAATTTCAGTAGATAACCTACCCTTGAAGACTGTTCCATGAACACCTTCACCTAATTTTTCTTTGAAATGGTTTGTAATTCTTTCAAGGTCAGCATAAGAGAATCTAGTAGGCTTGAGTGCATTGTAATCCTCCAAAAACTTTTCCAGTCTTACTTGATCATCTATCTTTTTGAAGCAGAGACACATGTAAAAGCACACAACGAACAGCAACACAAGCACAATGGAACCTATTTACACAATAGCATACAAATGAACATTCAATTCAATCCAATGAACGTCCCAATAGAAAGAGAGCGAAGTCAATTATTATCACCTGTAGATGGTAAAACAATCGTGAGAATCTTGCTGGGTTTGCTGGATTTAGGCCACCTGAGTCTCAAGGAGTTAAAAAAAAAATCTTCTTCGGAGATCGGTGAAACTAATTGAAACATCGAAGTGCAGTAAATTAATTGGTCCCCGTCCAAATTCAGGACACTATCTTCAGAGCTAAGAGCATAAATCGGACAGCAGCACAAGCTGGGGATACTAATATTAGATGAACAGAATGAGCTCGACGCAAACGAAGAACAATCTAAGAAAGTAAGATTGTAGGATATATCGGGATAATCAAATTGGAAAGGATAAATGGATGAATTGTAGAGACGTTGTAGAAAGAGTCTGGGAAGACAACCATCATAATCATATATTTCTAAGATGCGGGACGTATAGTCTATTGATGAGACGGAGAGTCTCACTCCTTTGAGAGCTGGTACTGCCGGGAACTCAACCAAGGTCACGTTCTCATTTGTAAAATTAAGCTGGAAGGGAGCACTTTCATGAGCATTCCCCAGATTCATAAGCGGCACCAACACCTGCATCATCAGCACCCACAAAAATCTATGATACCAAAACATTGTAACAAGAGTTTTTTGTCTTTCTTCCCAATCTAAACTGGGACTCGGAATCCTATCTAAGTATGAAGTAATATGTCCCACTTTTCATTCAAAATGAAAGCCGTGTTCTCTGCTACTTTATAGCAACAAATTTGGACTAATCTAGACATCAATGTTTTATATAATTTTTTAGGCAACGAAAGTATTGGTCACTTGGTACGTATTTTTTGAGCTTTTAACTCACCCAATCAAATAGATATTTCTAGTCAATTTGCCAAAAAAAAAAACAAAAACAAAAGAAAAAAAAATGTTATCTTTGACTGTTTTCAAATATTTTACTAATATCCAATATACTACAAACAGTTGAGAGATAAAACTTAAAATAGTCTAAGCGGTGAAGAAAAAGAAAGTCTGCTCACTCTTCCAGAATTATAAATAGAGAAGTACTACGAAATTGAGTTGGGAAGAAAAGTCATTAAGTGAATTGAATCGGGAGGCACATAGCTCAGAAGCGGAGTATTCTGCATATCATCCTGAAGGATGGCAAGAGAAAAAGGCTTGAGGCCTTGGTGTTTAGTGTGGTCCACGTTGCTTCTAATGCATCGTGTTATGAGCTCTCAAGAGCAGGACAAATCCTGTAGTCCGTCTCGGTGCGGCATTATCACAAACATCAGAAATCCATTTCGACTACGAAATGATCCAGCCAAGTGCGGTGACCCCAAATACGAGTTAGCCTGTGAGAACAACATCACTCTCCTTCCTTTGAAAAATGGAGCATACAGAGTGCTGGGAATCAACTACAACGACTTCACAATCCGAATCGTAGATCCTGGCCTCCAGGAGGGAAATTGCTCCTCTTTCCCTCGCTATTTCTTATCACCATCCAATTTCAGCTATTACGACGCTGCTTATGACGCGTATGGATCGGAACCTATATTCAAGCAGGTGGTGTACCTGAAGTGCGGCGATCCAGTGAGGGGCGACGCCGCGTACGTGGATACAGCTCCCTGCGTAAATTGGGAATCCAAAGGAGAAGGAGGTCATCTCTATGCCGTAGCCGGAGACTTAGCGGCAGGCGACTTCAAATCAGGGTGTCGTGTGAAAATGGTGGCCGCCATTGCCTCAGATTGGGAGTCATTGGTGCCTGGTGGAATCAAGTCCTACGCTGACATTCACACACTGCTTTCCTATGGCTTTGAAATTGACTGGTCGTCCTGGTTCGACCAAGCTTGTGCCGCTCTTCCTTGTCCACACAACAATGACTGCAGTTTCGGTCCTGACGCTCAAACCCTCCAATGTCTGCCTCGTCCGACAAATTGTAATAGTCCCATGGCGATAGATAATATCGGTTGCCGTAAGTCACTTTTCCTTTCTCTTATATTTACTCGATATTTTTTACATCTTTATTTTAGTTAATATTTATTAATATTATATTTGAGAGAAATTGCTCCAAAAACTCTCATAAACATTTTAAATACAGTAAGATCTTATCAAATGAACAAACTATCCCAAATTTCACATCTTTTATTTTAAATATATTTTATATTTAATTAATAAAATAACTTTGCTTTACTTTTTCTCTTTTTAAAAACTATCCATCTCTATTTTTCTATCTTCCTCATTTTCTTTTCTCATTCATACAAATCATTAGATGAAAAATACTGTTACTCCTGATTAATTTGCACTCCTTTTTTTAATTCTTTATTCACACCCATCCTCCCATCATGCAAGCAGGATGGAAATATATACTTTTGTTGATATTATGTTATGCCATTTATTTATTTTTTTTTCTTCTTCTTGTTTTTTTTTTTAATGATGTAGCACATCTGCCAAAGACGCGCATATTTGCAGAAGGTAATTATGTTCTATTAACATTAAGTTAATATTATATTTAATAACTAATGAGGTTTGGGTTTAAGGGGAGAAACTAATCCCTTACAATACGTTGAACTAATGTTTGAATTCTCGTTGGTGTTCGATCTTGTCTTGAATATGATAGATTCTAACAAAAAAATACCTTGAGTTCAGATTACTAGGATCAGGACATGCCTCTAATATGTAATCCTATATTAAATAAGGTTGACTCTAACAAAAAGATATTTATAAAAAAATTTACTAAAACTAAACTATAGACTCAAAGAGCATTTGTATATAATCTTATTTTAATTCACCCATTAAGTCTGACAATTTTTTTCATAAATGAAAAAAAGATGTTATCGAGGGATTAAAATGAATAATTTCTATTTTTTTAAAAAATAACAAATATTTAATTACTTTTAAATCATAAAATTGTATGTTAATTGACATAGGTGGAAATAGGCCAAAGGAGCCTTCGGCCGGATCTGGTTAGAACTGCCCTGGCTTATTTATGAAAAAAATAAGCCTATTCTTTCAATCAAGCCTATTTAAAATAAATAAGTTAAATTTATTTTTTTTTAAATATAAGATTACGATAGAAGCATGATTAAAAAAATTAAAGTCAAGTCATGTCGGAATTAGACCTATTTATTTAAAGTCTGACTTATAGGTCCCTGCCTCCTTGCAAGTTTAAGGGAAAATGTGCAGTACTAATATGTTTTAACTTTTGGGCTTTAAAAATAAATAAAAGCAAGTTTTTTTTTTTGCCAGAAATAAAAGCAAGTTAACTATAAAGTTTCTTAGTAATTATGTTAGATTTGCTTAAAATGAAAATAAATTTCTGTGTGAGTGGTGTTGTTTAAAACATAGGCAATATTTTTGTAAATTTAAAAAGAAAATAGTATATTATCAAAGGCTATAAATGGGAGGGTTTTAGAATTTAGAAACTACATCATCGTTCAATTTAGTAGTTAATATTTTGTTTTTATACCTATCCATGCCGTTATTGACTTCTACAAAACTTCCTCACAGATTATATATACGGAATTTATAAAGGTAAGATTCTGGTATTCATTAATTTATTCCCTTCTTTTTACTTTTTATTTTAATTTGATTTCCAACCTTTTAATTTATGCCATATTTGTCTTTAACTTTGTATAGTACTTTTTTTTGGAAAACTGATAATTAGGAATCCCATAAAAATGTTAATGATAACTACAGACTTTAAATTATTAAAATTTTAATAACAAACCATCATCCTTATTTTTAATAGTTATTTTATTTTTTTTTGATTGGCTTGAGACTCATAATCAACTTTTATAAATTCCCAGCTAATGTTATAAATATTTTTAAATATATTTTATTAATTTTTCAAGTGATGGTAAAAAATTATAAGTGAATGGTTTCTGATTCATAACCACCTCTTGTAAATTTCTAATTGACATTATAAATAATTGTTATTGTATTTTCTTAATTTCTTAACTGACTACTAGCATTTTTTGATTGCAAGTAAAGATCATGATTTATTCATGAGATTTTAATAATTTTAAGTCAGCCAGTAATTGTCATTAATATTCTGATGGTTCCCAATTGTCATTTTCCCTACTTTTTTTTCCCAAGTTTACATAATACTTCAAAATTCTTAAAACTAAAAACTTAATAAATTAAATTAATTAATTAATTGACTAACTAAAACACTAGCAAACTAGGTCTCTCTGTTTTTTTTTTTTTTTTTGGTATACTCCTTCCCATTCTTACTACTTGATTTGGCGTCAGTTGGTGTTAAGCCTTTATTTTGATTTTCATAATATTTTAATTAATTTTTTATGTGAATTAATCTATGTAAAGAATAACTAGGTGTCTCGCAAGCTTTTTTTTTTTTTAATGAAACTAAAAACATGCATTACACTTTAATTATGATACAGTCAATATGTTCATCAAGAAGGGGAGGTCCCTCCTTATCCTCCAACCCTTTGGGGTATGTTTGGTTCAAGAGGAAGGGAGAGGAGATGATGGAAGGGAAAGAAGAGGAAGATTTTAATATTATCTTATTTGATTTTGTTGGAGGGGAGGGGAGAAGAGGGATTTTTAAAGATCTTTTATTTAGTTTAAGAGGAGAGGAGAAATGAGGTAATAATTAATTTACTATTATATTCTTATACATTAGTTTAATTTTTTTAATTATTCATTGTAGAAAATAATTTTACACCTCAATTTAAATTGCATGATTTCTTAAAAATTCACTTCTATCCTATCATATTGTCAATATGTAAATAAAAAATAAATAAATAATTATAATGATAACATTTTTATAAAAAAATAAATAACTCACTTAAAAATATAATAAAATATGATGAATTGTAATTTTTTAAGAAAATCCAATGATGTCAGTTGAAGTCTGGGAGTAAAGCATAATCTAATGTGAAAAAGAGTTTTTTTTAGCTCTGGGTACATTTGAAATATTAAAAAATAGATAAAAGCAAAATAGTTAAAAAAATTAACTCCCCTTCCCTCCAAAACTTCCCAACCAAACACACTCCTAAAAAGTGTTAGAAGATGGTCAAGTATACAAAAATTCTTGTCCAGTTGTCTTGCAAGCTTTAACTAGCTACAAGGGCGGAATTAGACTTTAGATTTGAGGGGTGCCAAGTTTTTTAATTTAATAAATATTTTTAATTTAAGTAATTTAAAACTAATTAATTAAGTATTAATAAAGAAAATATTTTTAATACTTAAACCTATATTCACAATTTTTTTATCAAAATCAGATGGTTTTTAAAGTCACCACTTTTATCTTATAACTATCTATATTTTTGATTTTTTTTATATTTAAAATTCGATTATTTTGATTAGACTGAAAAAAGATACATTAATTATATAAGTTTAAGTACCTAATTTTTTTTAACAAGCACCAAATTATTTTATAATAAATTATGTAGAACTAGATTTCATTGAATATTAAGATTTGATGAGAGGTAGAATAAATATTTAAATTTTTATAAAAATTAAATAAACATATATAATATATAATTTTTCAAAACATTTTGACATACACATAAGACAATCTTAAAAATCATGTGTTATTCCAAATGATTTAATTTAAAAAAGAAAAAGAAAACAATAGACTAATATGTACATATAAACATCACGCATCATTTTTTTTATCAATGAAAATTGAAAACTTAATGTTAATCAATAAAAATATTTTAATAAACTAATAAATTATATATATCATGTATAATAAGTATATCATATATGATAGGTATTTTTTATAAGAGGCAAGATAGGTATATTTTATAAGAGCCAATGTGTATATATTATATGCAGGCATGAATCAAATAAAAAATTGGTGTTGCTATTTTTCTTTTTATGTAGTTTATGGTTGGTGTTTTAAATATACACATATAGGTGGAACCTGACAAGTTATGCTAGGGGAGGATTCTCTCCTCTTCCTTCCCATCCTCTTTCTCTCCTTTTCTTAATTTCTACTCATTATATTAAGATTTTTGATAATCTAAATTTGGTCTCCTTCAACTTACTTTTATTATATTTTTAATTTGTTCTTATTAAATTTTCATAGTTTGAATTTTATTTTTTATATTTTTATAATTTTATATTTTAATAATAATTTTATAGAAAATCAAATATAAATCGTTTAAATCTTGATTTAATGGCTAAAAAGAGAAAAGAATTGAAGAGGATTAGAAGGAAGAGGAGAGAATTCATATCTAGCTATTCTTGTTCTTATTAATAGGGGTGTTCACGGGACAAGATTGAGACGTCCTGTTGTCCCTATAAATCAGACAATGTCAGAAAAAGATCTATATAATAATATTTATTAAAATTTTAAATCATACTCATTCATTCAAAAATGTAAGACATTTCTAACCGAATCTCACTTCCAATAAAGTAGTTACCGACTTTTTAACTAACCCTATCTTTTCATATTTACCCTTATTAAATACCCTACAATAAATATAAAGTCATTATTAATAGAGGCACTTTTGAAAAAAAGGCAATGATTATACCTTAAAAGACTAAAAATGCCTTACATTTTTAACATCCAATTCCTAAAAAAATGTCTTATATTTTTCAAAGGAGGGAGTATAATTTATTAAGTTTAAAATCAAAACAACACCAATACATAAATTATAATAATTTAAAGTCAATTATTGAATTACATTAATCACAACTACATATTATGATAGCAATTATAGATGATCTCTAGGCTATAAGAGCAATAACAATAGGCAAGCCAAATACAACATCAAATTATTGTTATTCTACTTTAGTTGAAATGTGCTATGCTAAATTAATCTTTCAAAAATAAAATAAGAAATACGATATAAATAAAAGTTATTAAATAGATAGATAAGAATAAATTGTATTAGTATAATTCATATATTATAAAAAAATATCGCTCTATTTACTCTATGTCATTAAAATTATCAATATAAAAAATTTTAGTTTTATACAAGAATTACAAGTATTGAAATTATAATTTATATAATTAATATAAGTATAAATTATATTTATATATTTAATGTATATTTTTAAAAGAAAAAATAATATATATAATATTTGAGATGAGACGAGATGAGACGTCATGATGGTAATCTCGCATCCTATCACATCCTGAATCCCTATTTTGTCCCATCTCGCGAAGTCTTATCTCAATTATTTTTTGGCTAAGATGAGACTCATTCCGATATAATTGGGATGATACCAAATCAATCGGAATGAGTATAAGCTGAACATCCCTATTTATTAAGATGGGTATGGGTCAAATAAAATATCAATACTTAATATTGAATATAAAAATAAAATAATAAAAGCATGTAGCTCTGGTCTTTATGTTGATCGACAAGTTGCTCCCCATCATCGGTACCCCCTATTTTCAGCCATTTAAAACAGTATGAAGAAAATGAAAAGGCACTCTATTTTTAACCAACATAATTATATAATTTGTAATTAGTTATAGTGTATATAAATTTTAACATCTGCTAAAGATGAAATATCTGAAAATTAGGTCTAAATTTATAATAATTGGATGAAAAGTTATGAATATTCCCGTCCTCAAGAAGAAATATTCAGAAATGAACTATTCTAAAGAAATATTCTCGTACTCAAGAATAATTAAATTATAGGGAATATTAAGGTAAATTACAAAGACTATAAAATTTATTTATTTTTTCTTAAATTTATTTTCATTTCACATTCTGTTTGATATAGATGTGGTCATATTTTGTGACTAACCAAACCCATTATCTAAATCAAAATAACGTAAGTGCAGGATTTCGCCAAATAGTGAAGATGGGGACTTACCATCACTATAGTGACTATGATTTTAGTCTAACAAATATTGGAATCACATTAGGAATAGCTACTGGAAGGGTTGTTTTGCCAGTCATCACAACCAGATTTTTATGTGGTATCATATTCCTATCTGTGTTGTTAATATATACATGTCGTAGAAGACACTTATCAATGTATGAAGACATTGAAGATTTTATACGACTTCATAACTTCATTCCAATAAGGTATTCCTACAAGGAATTGAAGACAATGACCAAAGGTTTCAAGAATAAGTTAGGTGAAGGAGGCTTCGGCACTGTTTACAAAGGGACACTAAGGAGTGGACCCGAAGTTGCTGTCAAAATGTTGGGCAAATCCAAAGCTAATGGCCAAGAATTTATCAATGAAGTAGCAACTATTGGGAGGATACACCATTTCAATGTGGTACATCTTGTTGGGTTTTGCCTAGAAGGAACAAAACGTGCTCTTGTCTATGAATTCATGCCCAAAGGGTCTTTGGATAAATATATTTTTTCTAAAGAAAGCATCTCCTTGAGCTATCACAAAATATATGAGATATCTTTAGGAGTGGCTTATGGAATTGCTTATCTTCATCATGGTTGTGACATGCAAATATTGCATTTTGACATCAAGCCCCATAACATTCTTCTTGATGAAAGCTTCACTCCAAAGATTTCGGATTTTGGACTGGCAAGATTATATGATATTGATGATAGTATTGTCACTTTGACTGCAGCAAGAGGAACGATAGGGTACATGGCTCCTGAGTTATTCTACAAGAATATTGGGGGTGTGTCTTATAAGGCTGATGTATATAGTTTTGGGATGCTTCTAATGGAAATGGCAAGTCGAAGAAGAAACTTGAATCCACATGCAGAACATTCAAGCCAGCTTTACTTCCCGTTATGGATTTATGACCAATTTGATGAAGATAAAGATATGAAGATGGAAGATTTGACAGAAGAGGAAAAAGATTTGGCAAAGAGAATGTTCATAATCGCACTTTGGTGTATACAACTAAAACCCACTAATCGTCCTTCAATGAACAAAGTGATACAAATGTTAGAAGCGGATGATGTTAATAGTATTGAAATGCCTCCAAGACCTTCTCTGTACTCATCTGAAACAATTTTAATGGATGACATATTTGACAGTGGCCAAACAACATCCACTATCTCTTCCCATTCTCATAGTAGTCCCGATGGGGCTGCCAATGATGGGAGCTAATAGCGGGCAATTGAAAAAAGGAGGTCAAAGCTATATCTTCAACTTCTCAATTTGTATTTGATAACAATACTTGGTTAGTGCCCTGATTGGTATTGTTTTATTTAGCATTTTTGTTTGTTTCATTTTTGATGATGATGTAATGGCATTTATAATGACTATTAATATCTTTCAATCTCATAATCTTCTCTGTAATATGTCATTCTTATAGCAGTCTAATAGATGAAGATACAAGTGATGTGAAGTAATACACTTAGCAACTGGAAAAAAAGGTACATTATTACTATTAAAGTTTCACTTATCAAATTGTACTTTATTTAACAATGCTATTATTGCCCTGTTTTAGGTGTCGCTTTAATAATTTAGCATGTTATTTTTTATGTTTAATAATGATACAAGATTTACAAATATTTCTTTCAAGCTCATAAGCTCCTGTAATGTATTGTTGAAAAAGTAATCACTAGTGAAAATCTTTAATACAAGCACATGCTATTCATTTCCCAGTTATAATAGTTACAGATTGATTTTTATATTTGAAATGATCAAAATGTACACCGTTCACTCTGAGGTCTAACGTTATTGTGTATAATTTGGTTTTCATGTTTTTTTATGACACTCAATTTCTTCTTAGTTTGATATTCAAATGCTCTCCACAAGAATTAAACCTAAATTAAAGAACAGCATCTAAAAAAACAGAATACATTGGGGCAGGAGCAAAACATTTCATAGCCTTTGGAACATTTAGGCTTATTCAGTATGATGGAAGTTTTTGATAAAATTAGAATCAAAATTGAAATAAAATTAAATTTTAAAATTATATTTGATATAAAGATAGAATCCTCATATAATTTTAATTAATATATGAATTTTAAACTAGCAGTGAGAAGAAGGGCAAAATGGTACAATGAAAATAATTTTAAAGAATTGTAACAATTCCATCATCACGTTGATAGAATCCAATTCAAGAAAATTTTTTTGAATATGAATTCTTAAGAATCAAGACTCACATTTATCAAACATGCTTTACCAAATAATCTTTTTCCAATTCTGATTCATTCCTCACAATTTTTGCTTACCAAACAAGCCCGTAGTGGTTCGTAAAAAGATATTAGGGAAACTGAGAAAATAATTATTGAGTACCATATAAGGAGTCTTATTGCTCAAAAATCCTACAAAATAGAGAAAATAGCTCTAAAGTTCAAAGGCAATTTGGTGTTAATATTTTTTTTTATTGTCGAATTACTATATTGCTTGTGATCTGAATTAATAAAATAAAAGAGTTGTCACTATCCATTGCCTTGTTATCATGGCTCGTTGCCTTGTTGTCATAGTATTCCAGGTGAGGGTGCAAGTGATGGGCAATAATATTTGGCAGTCATCAATTTGTATTTGATAACTTGATCGAATGATCGTTGTTTTGCCCAGATTTGGGTTTTTCTTTCATAATATAGCATTTCATTTTCATTATTGATCATGTTGCAATAATGTGTGCAAAGATTATTATTATTATTATTATTATTATTATATCTCCAAAGTCACGCGAAATGATTCCTTTTTGGCTCTTTTACATAAATATGCTGCATTAGTATATATTCTCTTAATTAAAAAACGTAAAGTATTTTTTTAAAAATTAAATATTTAAAATTATAAGGTATTTTTAGTCTTTCGAAATGTAATCATTATTTTTTTTTTAAAGTGTCACTACTAAATGAATAAATTTATATTTATTATAAAGTATTTAATAGGAGTAAATATAAAATATAGTATTAATTTAAAGATAAATAACTATTTTATTAAAATAAGATTCGATTAAAAATATCTTATATTTTTTTTTAAAAAAGTACTTGTATATTATCTTTGCTTTCCCCATCTCTGTTCTCTGTTTTCTTACAAACGCCTATTGTACCTCCTCACGTGGATCAGCATATCATAATATAAATTAAATAATAAATATAACAGTTCAATTCAGATTATTGTTGTTTCCACTCTCAACAGGGCCATGGAGCAGAGGGCATTGGTTTTTTCCAATGTTGTTATAAACCATAACTAGTAAAGTACTTATACGATAATGCATGGGTCCTATAAAATATTTTTTCAAGAGAAAAGATATAATCATTAGTTCTATAATTTTATTAAATTTTACTCTTAATTCTTATAGCTTTTTTTAATGTTTTCAATTTTTACAGTCTTTGCAGTTTAACATCATTAAGGATCTACAGGACAACTGCCACTCAATCTTCACTAAAACTATGTCTATAGCCACTGAAATCACTTAAAAAACTATAAAAATTAAAAGCAAAACTTGATGAAACCTATCAAAACTAATGCTTGTGTTTTCTGTTTTTAAAATATATAGAATTCATCATTTATGACAAATTTTTGCTAGTGTTTTCTGTTTTTAAAATATATAGAATTCATCATTTATGACAAATTTTTGCTAGAATTCTTCGTAGCGTACTTTATATGATGGGATATTTGACTATCATCAATAATAAACTTTTTTTGGTTTGACTATCGTCAACAATGTTAATTATGTATAAGTAGAGCATGAGAAATGATAAAAATATTTATTGTAAATATATATATATATATATAAAGTAGACTAAGAAAAAGTTCATAATTCTTTAGACTAATTTATCAAAAACTTGCACGTAAACAATGTTATTATAAACCGTGATAAATAAGTTGTACACGCCTTCAACTGAACCAAACTGAGGGTCCATTTGGCTATTTTACATTTAATATTCAAAAAGTACTTTTTCACAATTTAAAAGCCCATGTTATCCGGGCATTATAATTTTATATGAACCAACTTTTGGGAAGCATATTCAACTTTTTGAATACTGAAATTGTTGTTCGAACCGTTCCGAAACCACATTCAACTTTTTGAGTGATATTGCATTATCATTTCGTCCAAATGCTTTGGCTTCGTAAAAAAGGAAAAAAAATTAAAAATGAGAATTGATTAAAAAATAACTCTTATGTCACATCTGTTGTTAGATAATTAAGAAATGATTTAGTCAAATTAATCATGTTAATTCTTAATATTAATGTACATTCAACTATTTATATAATTGTAATTCAATATATCTAGCTTTATATTTTTTATTTTTATTATTTAATATATCAAATTTTATGTTATTCAAAATTTTTATTACACATATTTTTCAAACATTTCAAATATATATTGCATTTGTATGACTAAAATTATAAATCATAGAAATCAATATTCTTTTTAATAAATTTTACATTTAAACGTATTTTCATGATATACAATGCAAATAATTTTTAATTTATCAAATTTAATTTTAAAAAAAAGTATCCAAATATAAATTTTATTACAGTAACTATTAATTTTTATTAAATTAAATTTTATCAAATAAAATTTTAACAAATTGATTTTTGATTAATGAAAAACTAGCCACACCCACGCTCAATCTCAATATTCCAGCAACGTTTGATCCTCTTTTTTTGTTTGGGCCTTTGGATTGGGCCTCAATTTTCTTACGGGTTTGAAGTTGGTCCAAAAAAACAGAGAGAATTGAATTGAAAGCTACTCGCCAATAAATATTTTTTAAGCCCCTTTACCACAAATAAATTTATTTTCTTATTAATAAAATTTGATAGGTCAAATTAATGAGATACGCAAGCCACCTGACAAGGTAAAAATATTTTAATTATTTTTTAACACAACTTAAAGAAAAATCACACAAATAAAAAATTGACCTTTAAAATAAGAAAATTATGCACTACTAATAATAGAAAAATATGAAATAAAATTTTTATGAAATTATTATTAGCTAGCTTACATAAATATTATATAAGCCTTACGCGTCTTTTCTTAATATGACATTGTAAATTTTATTAGTAAGATAATTAAGAAATAAATTGAAGGAATATATAATAAAAAATAAAATGTCCAGGAAATTAATTTTAAAATTTTGAAAGTGAAGGAGGTTCTGTACAACTGCCTCAAAATTTAAAAAAAATTGTATATTTTATCTATATTTATATTACAAAATTTGTAATTTAATATATAATATAGCAGTACTCAACTATGAGAATAACTAGGCACTGTTTGGGAACTTTATATTTAACTTGTTGGAAGCATTTTGGCACTTTTAAAAAGTTAAAAGCTGTCTGGATTAAAAATGTGATTGAATGTAGATTTGGAAGATATGACTTTTGATAGTTTTTGAAACTCAAATTTGAAATATAACTACTTATTTTACCTTGCTACCCTCTCGACTATGTTCTTCTTTCTTATGTGCTTTGCCTCCCTTCTATAATAGGAGGCCACAATCAAATGCTCTAACACAACATACGCCTTTTACTCCACATCCAAGCTTGCTCAAGTGCCTCTGTTCTAGGGATTGTTATTTTTTTTTTAACTTCTCTTAAAGTGTTTTGTTTTGTATTATTATTGTTAATTTTTAAATCAAACATTTGATCATGTTAATCTTTCTTTTAAATTTAAATTAAACCTATATGGCTCTATAATATTATGAGCATATAAATAAAAAGAATCCCATGTAAATAAGCATGAAAATTTAACATATTAAATTTTATGTTATTTTAAATTTTTGATATTTTTTAAACATTTTTAATATAATACATTTGTATAACAAAAATTACAATCATCATAAATCAATTTTTTTAATTAATATATATTTAAAAGTACATTTCAAAAGTATAAATCATCATTTATTAAATAATTTTTAATTTATTAAATTAATTTTTTTAAAAATATATTCAAATATAAATTTTATTACAACAATCATATTTTATTAAATTAATTTTTATTAAATCAACTTTCAACAAATAAAATTCTGGTAAATGGAACAGAACACACGCCTAGCTGGATGTCATACACAAAATCAAATAAAAGATGTTCATTATTGCGCTGAAAAAGTCATCGCATTAGATAAACGATATCTACTTGGTCATGTTACTGGACCACAACAATTAAAAGAGCGCGTGAAGAATTCGAGAAAAATTAAATATTGGACCCCACAAATAATTCATCAAGTGCGTAAGCAGAGTCGTCACATTCTCTCTTTCCGCCGATGATATAATCATGTTTAGCATTGGACCATTATAATGGAATTATGGAAATAACTTTTCAAACTTTTCTTCTTCTTTTTTAATATTCGCTCCTTTTCAAAAATATTTGTCCATCTAATGAAGTTTT